ATAAGGATGCGTTCATGCATTATTTTATTCTTTTGATTTGAAACCTAATAAATCCCTATGTGTATATGTCAAGTGTCTTTCAAGTATTCGTGAAATGGAAAAGCCCTTTTTAACTTATGGTAGGTTGCTTTAAATAAATGATTTTATTATTGATTTTAACACTTCTAAGTTGTTGATTAAGTGAAACAGAGTATTTGCAAAGCACTAGAGCTATTGTGAAATAAGATTTTATGAAATGGAGCATGAATGTTGGTTAGGTATGTAATTGTGTGTTTATATTTCAGATTTTAATATTTTTTTATTTCATTAATATTTTTTCTTGATTTATCCATGACTACAATATTTATAGTTCTTGATTTGGTTTGAAGGGAAATGATGGGCTGTTTGTGATATGTTGGTGGTGATGTTGTAGTTATCCATGATGTAGTAAAAAAGCTACTAACGAGCTACATATCTTCAGTTTGTTGATAAGCTCCCGAAGACACAAAAAGATATTGAAAGGTAAGCTTCTTTACATTATTTTAATTCATAGCTATTTCAGTTTGTACAAACTACACTTCTTATAAATCTAATCAATTTGTGCGTTAGGGTCTCTTTATAAAAAAGAGATCTAAAAATCCCATTGTCCCGATTCTTTGGATTTATATTCTTTCATATTTGCTCTATAGACCTCATGTTTCATGGAATGTTATTCTGATGGTTGGTAGAGACGGTCACATCTTGTCGTAAAGACATCTTTTCGGTTATCAAGTTGTATTAAACAACACATTTGTTTTTGGAACTTTTACCCACTTGTAAATTGTTTTTATATGCTTATGTGAACATCGTTTTGTGTCAACTCTTTGTAATATTTATGTTTTTACGCATCTTAAGTGTTTTTATATGCTTATATTGAAACTTTTTAATTTAACCACATGTAAATTGTATTTTTGTTTGTATCGATTTTGAGCTGAAGTTATTTTCTTGGTTCTATGACAGCATCACACATACTGGGTTCATGAGCCTTTCACTTGGGTTTTTCACAAAAATCAAGTATAACACATTATTCTCTCCTAATGTGAATTGAGTCAAAAAAAAGTTATATGTATTGAATGGACATTTTATTTGTTTTCAAGTTGGAGGACACTTAAATAGAAATTGTACTGGGATTTGGAGGGGACAAGTGTCTATCCATATAGAATTTTCTCTCCATCCTCTCGCGTCACCACCATCAGCAACCTGTTTCACCACTATCAGCCACACCTTCAAATCATTGTCTTATATCTTACTTATTGCATGCCATTTTGTTATATATGCTTTTGTTTTTCCTTATTTGCTGGTTTGAAATGCAATGTGGTATTTTAAATAATGGACTTTGTGTAATGATCATCAAGGGAAAGATAGAGGTGAAAGTAGAACAATCAAAGCAAAATTTTTAGTTTATTCTCAATTCTAGATTGTCAATAGATCAGCTGGAATTCAGGAAATCATATGATTTGGTAATTTTTCCGACCCCACTTTTTATAAAAGAAAATTCATTTAGAATTTCTAAATCATTCTTAAATATATCATGTGTTGCTTCTTAAATATTCTCTTAAAATCATCTTATTAGCCTCAAGTCAGAATTGCACATTAAAGTTATCTTATTAGCCTCTTCATGTTTTGTTTTTTTTTTATGTTTTAATTTATTATCAGGTTTGGCTGCCTATTATGCGTATCAATCCATTGAGTACATGACTTGTTATTTTACAACAATATTGTGTCCCACCACACATTGATCAAGTTGGTTATAAAAAACTATTTTTCCAAAAACATATGAGCTTTAAAATAATAAAAATTTGTGTGATAAGATTTAACACATGAAGTGGAAAAGAGCTTCCTTGGTGGCCGACTTATTCTTGATTTACATGAATTTGATTCTTTTTTAGTTTAGTTATTATTGTATTAGTTTATTAAAAGATTAAAGTTTTGATTCACGCAATTGTTCATGGTGAAAATGCAAGAATGGAATGGTGTTTTAAAGAAACTTAATAAGTAGCTTGCAACAAGTTCATCTTCTTTGAGAAACTCATTCATTTATTACATTGTACGTTGTTCTTATATTGTGATCCAAACAACATTTTTAAATACAAATGATAAAAGACAAACCACACATTCCACTAAAAAAATAAGGAAAATGTTAAAAAGACCAAAGGACTTTTCTATTTGTCCACTTTGTCATTCAAGTTATTTTTGTCAACTTTTAACTAATTAACTTTTCAAAATCATATAGTTTTTACTCAACTTATTTTTGCCCATTTTAGATAACGAACATTCCTAAAACAGTATTGTAGTCATGTAGGCCGGTAAAAGCGATGGTCGGTTAAAGGGATAATTTTTGAAAGTTCTTTATTTAAATATGGACAAAATAAGTTGAATGAATAAAACTAAGGGATTTTAAAAAATTATTTACTTAAAAGTGGATAAAGATAATTTAGAGTGGCAAAAAGTGGATAAAGTGAGCAATTTGTTGGAAATTTTATAACCTTTTCTCCAAAAGATATTGTTTTGAATACATATCTAAGTACCTCATGTTTTATCTAAATGCAAGTGTAAAAAAACTTACAACATTTCAAAGCTAAGTTCTTCATCGTATATAAAACGGCTTATAAATAATAAAATATCAACTAAAATTTATTCATTGAAAGGAAAGTATTTACCGAAGTGAACAATTCGCCGTCACTGCTTTGCATTGGTGTGTATATATATTATAATATATTATATATATAAATATAAGATAATAATATATATATATATACTATATATAGATATCTATATATATATATATATATATATATAGATATATATATATATATCTATAGAGAGCCGAGCGCGAAGATGTGATTGTTAGACCGGACGGTATGGGAGGGAAGCTTCCCTCACTTTTTGTGGGCCATACTACCATTTCCCTCACTTTTCTTTCCCTCGCCTAAAACTTAAGAAATAGGTGGGAAGCACTTCCCTCACTATTTTATTATTATTTTTTAAATAAAATTAATTGATTTTATGATTTATAATTTTTAGATTAAAAATAACCAAAAAATTTAATTAAAAAGAAAATGATTTCATAATTAAATAAAAATTACAATAACCTAAACGTTAAAAACCTAGAAAAATTAAAAAAAAACCACAAACTAAAAATCAAACAAACCAACGACCTACGGAAAATATTTTTTCAGAATTTTTTCCCTCTTCTTCATCACGAGCTCAAGAGCCGGTCCCGAGAGATGATCGGTGTTTTCCATCAAAAACTTCATATCCTTCATTTCTTGTCTCTTCGCCCGCTCCTTTTTCCTTGCTTCTTCTTTTTCTTTGTCGAAAGCCAAACGTTTGGAGAAATTAAGATTATATCGATCAAACGACGCTGTTATTTTCCGCATTTCGTCAACGTCCATGCTAAAATCAGATGCACCCGAAGAAGTCCCTTTTCCATTTCTCTTCGTTTTGTCCCTACCCATTGGGCGGAAAATTTCTTCTAGCTCGAGTTCGTCATCCTGATTTAAATCTAGACCGACCCGAACATCGAAGGAGGTTGTGTAACCACTAGAGCCCGTTTTCGTTCGCTTTGATTGTTGGACTCCAAAAATAAAATCTTGCTCGTATTTTTTCCACCTAGGACATCGGACCAATAATTTCCAACAATCGTGCCACTTGAATGGTTTTCCGACTTCCTCAAGGTAAAATTGCAAAGCTTCTTGAAGCATTTGTTCGTCGCCTTGGCCGCTTTTTCGTTGGGTTTTTAGGTTGTTATATAACCCGTTTATTTTTGAAACCCCATTTGCTATTTCTCGAAACTTCGAATTCAATTGATGTTTCGTACGGTAGTCGTCACCTTTTTCTAGCTCCTCTCGAAACCGTTCCAAAATGCGAAACCAAAAATGGTCTCCAGGTTGTGCGTTTCCTTGAATCGAATCCTCAGAAATGTCAGCCCAAGCTTTGACCAAAACCAGCTCTTATTGTGGAAGCCATGCTGTCGGCTTTTGTCTTCCCGGTTGTGCGACACCCTCGCGCGCTTTTTTTTTTTTCCCTTTACGTCTTGTGGGGGGTGGTGGGTTGAGTTTCGGGAACCATCTCTTCTTCTTACGAGTCATCCAACTCATCGACAAGTTGGCGTTGTTGTTGGGTTAGGGTTTGAGTTTGAGTTTGGGTTTGGGGTTGAGGTTGATTTGGCGATTGTTGATCCGGAAACACAGCAAAGTTTGAAAACATTTGCGGCGTAACATTTGGAACTTGGATCGGGTAATATTGTCCAACATTTTGGTATTGAAATTGCAGTGGGGATTGAATGGGAGCATCGAGTTGGGGGCAATAAACTCCTTGTGGTGATGAATCGATAGCAAAAATGTTTCGAGTAGGGATGTTTAAACTCGAACCATGGTTTTTTTTCCTTCGATCGGAAGTTGGGGTTTGATTATCGGGATTCATTTTTTTTTAGAAGAAAATAGAGAGAATAGAGGGTTTGTTTGAATGTTGATTGAAGGTAAATAGTTGAGTATTTATAGGTGTTTAAAAAGGTAAAAAAAAAACAAAAAAGCAAAAAAATTTGGGTTTAAATGCATACATATATAGTATAGTATATATATATATATTATATATATATAATATATATCTTATATATATATATATATATATACCGTTAATCAACGGCTATTTCACAAAAAAAAAAAAAAAAACTTTGCTCCGGCCAATGATAGAGGGAGAGAAAACGCGGGGTATCTTCCCCTCTCCGGTTCCCGCACCTCCGCCTCCCGCAGCAACGGTCCGGTGTTCTGTCGTGCGGGAAGGCTCCCGCTCCCTCTTCCCGCAATGATTCCGTCCACCCTTATATGAACCGTACCAATCAATTTTATTTTGAAAATATTGATTCTATTAGAAGGGTAGTACGGTAAATTCCCTTGTTCCGATACCTAAAAAGCGAGTATTCCTTTTCCATTTCAACATTAAAAGAACAGCAGGGTGTCTCAATAATTCCACTCATTTCAATGGACTCCACGTTAGCATCCAAACCGATCATCAACGTTGCTGCCATCTGTGGTTCCACTCGCAAAGCTTCCTTCCATCATGGCCTCATCCGCGCCGCCATTGAATTGGCCACCCAAGCGATCGACGGGATGTCGATCGTAAACGTCGACATATCGCTGTTACCGATGCTCAACACAGATCTCGAAGTCGACGACAAATTTCCACCGGAGGTCGAAGCATTTCGTCAGAAGATTCTTCAATCTGAATGTTTCCTCTTTGCTTCTCCTGAGTACAATTACACGGTCACAGCACCTTTGAAGAACGCAATCGATTGGGCATCTAGACCACCGAACGTGTTTGCCGATAAGGGTGCTGCTATTGTTAGTGCCGGAGGTGGGTTTGGCGGAGGGTTGGCACAGTATAGTCTCCGGCAAAATGGTGTTTTCCTTGATCTTCATTTCATTAATAAGCCAGAGTTTTTCCTCAAGGCGTTTGAAGGTCCTCCCAAGTTCGACGATGAAGGTAATCTAATAGATACTGAGGCTAAAGAGAGTCTAAAATCTGTTCTTTTGGCGCTGAAAGCTTTCACGTTGAGACTTCGAGGCAAGTAAAGTGATGAAGGTTAAAAGTTAAGGAGAGGTTGATTTCACTCATTTATACATTTCCTCGGTGGACGTGGTTGTGTGAACTTGTGGCTGATCAGGCGATGAAGTTATAAGAAAGGATAAAGTTATCCATTAATAATTCATTTATAATCCATTAATATATGTGATGAGATAAATGAACTAGTCATCTTGGTTCTCTAAAAATAAAAGAAATTTTTTTGGATGTATGAGTCACGTTTTGCAAGAATATATAAAAATATGTTTATTTTTTCTTTTGGATTTGTCCACTGTCTACGTCAACGACACCGACGACATTATCACCGTCATTGTCACTCTCGTTGATTTGTTATGCTACCACTCATGCTTGTAGTCGACCAACAGAAGTCGTTTTTGCATCAGATCTAACATGAACCACCACCTCCGGTGCAGCCTAACACCAAATCTGTTGGTGATTTTAGTGTTACCATGTCATTTTAAGTAACTGGAACTAACATGTGAGCTAAGTGGCTTCATGATTTGTACTCTAATATATGTACGGGGTTGTGCGGAGTGCACACATGTATAAGATCGAGTCAGAAGCCGGTTTGACGACTAGTCGGGGGTCCGGGTGCAGCGCCCCCGGGTCCGGGGTTTCCAAAGGGGCAGCGCCCCTTTGGTGGGGTCTAGGGGCAGCGCCCCTAGCGGGGTCCAAGGGGCAAAGCCCCTGGCTGGGGTCCCGGATTAATATTACTAACGTAACATAATGGAAAACTCAATTTCTTGAGGGTGATTATGGTAAAACTAAAGTAACTCGTTAGTTTTGGTAACCCTAATCCGGATTAATATTACTTGCTTCCAAAGCAACTAATGACGGCCCAACCCTAATGAAACCCTAATCGTGTTTAATATATAAACAACTCTTCCTTTCCAGAAGGGGGGGGGGACGTTCTTGAGCTCTTGTTTTTCATCACACATTCACAGAACCCTTTAGCATATTGGCTTACGTTTTCTGTGCCTAGAAACGTAAGTGTCCACTGGGATTATCCTAGGCTGAATTTCTTGTAACCCAGGCATAGGGTAGAAATATCAGTTCGGAAAGTGATATCACGATCCAAGTCGGTATCCAGATCTCCACCACAAACCCTAAGATTCCCAACAAAATCTTCATCTGTTTTTTCTTCGATCTTCAGTGAAACCACCAGATCTGTCGCCTCCATCTTTCGAAGATTAGAGATCGAGACCTTAAGAGTTTTCCGGTAAGATTTTCGTTTAAGCTATCAACAATCACATGCGATTACAAATCAGATATGAGTTTGACTATACGGTACTTTTCCGGTGACGTCTTCCGATGATTTACACTTACCAGTGCATTCATTCAACAATATAGGAAATGTGCGAGATCTGTTTTGGCGAGTATTTCATGTGGTATTCAAAAGATTTCCTTTAGAATATAATATGAGATTTGGAGGAAATAAGAGGTGGAAGTTATTGTTCTTTGGTGATGTTTTGGAGGTGCTCCAACAATTGTATTTTTGTTTCCTTCGCTTGCATCAAGAAAGTTCAAAGGTTGGCAGCTACCATGGAGCTGAAGCATAATAATGAGATGGTATATATTTTTTCCATTGTTTACTTTTCGTTTGACTTTGATATACTTGATGAATAGTTATTAAGAGTTATACAAGCATTAGTCTAAGAATTATGCAAGCTTTAATTTATCTATCAAATTCATATAACATATAGTAACATTATTAGAGAACAGGGGTAATACCTACGGCACAATCCGTAGGTATTCCGTATGTATAAGACAATACCTACGAAATTGCTACGGAAAAAGGTTTGTAGCATAAATGCCCGTGAGAAATTTATACCTACGGACTAGCTACATAATACCTACGTTTTTTCCGTAGGTAAAATAACTACAAAATAGCTAAGTAAAGCCATAGTTACGGAATACCTACGGATTACTCACGAGAGTCAAGTTTGACTAAAGTTGACTACTTTCCTATCGAATAGCTACGGAAATACATAGTTACGGATTTCCTACGGATTACCAACGGAGCCCAGTTTGACTAACATTGACTTTATTACCTACAGATTTCCTACGACTCACATTACCTACGAATTTTCTATAGGTAATCCGCAGGTAATGACTTTTTATTTAAAAAAAAACAGCAAAAAATTATAAAAACAATCATGTTTTTTCTGTCCAAAATATTGAAAAAACTCATTACATTAAACTGCTAATAATATTAAAATTCAACCACACAACAAATAACATTATAATAAAACTAATAAACCTAAAAAAGTATTAAATACAAATACATATTACTAATGAACATTGTCTAATAATACATTAAATATGTCGAATAATACACATTGAAAGTGTCAACTATAAATGTTTAACTAAGTGCTTACAAACATAAATGTAAATTTAAATATAATAAGCTTAGTGGACACAACACAAAAGCAATGAATATATAAATGTAATAAGCGTAATAGACACAACACAAAAGCAATGCATAGATAAACATATCTTACAAACAAGAGAACATGTGTTTTTTATCCTGCAACAAGGCACCAAACAAGAGAACATGTTAAAATTTTAAATGGCACAACAACTTAGTTGATTTGTGAAGATTTTAGGGCATCATGATGCATCCAGATAAACAAACAACCAATTTTATGGAGCTTTTACTGGTTCATATGACCATTAGGTTGTGATTTCAAATATATATCAATGCATCTGTTGGAATCAGAGTTATCAGTTTGATAAAGTTTCGTATTTCAGCATTTTTCATTAATAAAGATAAAATTCGAAATGTGAAATGCATATCTAAGGATCAAGTTTCTGATTGCAATAATCCAAGAGTATTGAAATGAAATAAGCGTATGGAACTATGAAATAAAAAATATACAAGAGCCTACATGAATGAATGGGTATCAGCAGAAGAAGCACCACCAAAGAGGAAATTAGAAAGGAAATCAACACAAGAGTTTCTACTTAGTTGAAATCATGGAGTTCCATTCTTCCTCCATCAACCTTTTTCTCTCCTCCTCCATTATTGAGCTCGGATGTTACAAACCACATCAAGAGCACCACCTAAGGGGAGTGTAGAAATCAGAAATCCATTCTTCCATATATATAATCGTCTAATAGTTATTTTGTGATGTTATAGCAAGTTACATGAAGCGATTTCGGGGATAGAAAAAATAACAAGATCTAAATTAGGGTTCTACGATGCTTGAATTGAACATACCACTAGTTAACAAACAATATCTATCTACATTGAACATACCAGATTAAACGAACCAGTCATCCACAGCGGTGGGGTACCGCGAAGACGACGGGGAGTAAGGTGTGACAGTAAATGTTTGATGGTGTGACGACGACAAGTAGATGCTTCACCTACAAATCGATCTTGGTGGGTGGAAATGGTACTTACCTACGGATTAGCTACGGAAAAGGCTTTCCTTCAGAATTTTGTCACCAATTCGTAGGTAATTATGTAACACTCGAGTCCAGGTATTTTCCTTTTTAGTCCTTGAAGCAAAATTTAAATTTTGAAAGAGGTCCCCTCGTACGTTGGGTGTACGTTTTGGTAAGCTTAGCATACATGGGCAAGGCGTATGTAGCCGAAGTTAAAACCCTAATTTTAGGGCATGAGCCCTATTTAAAAACACATATGACCTTTGGACCCTCACCCTTAGCAGCCTCCATTGTTATTATCGTCCCTAAAACCCTAGTTTCCATTGAGAGTGATATTTGAGCTTGGAAGTAACTTTAGTGGCCTTTTTGGTGTGTTTGCAAGAAGAAGATCTTGGTGATCAAGCCTTGGTCATGGATGAGCATCAAGATCCTAAATCTACATCATCTTAGGAAGCTTTTGGAGGTAAAAAGCTCATAACTTGTTGATCCCTTTGATAGTTAGAGTTAAGGTTTGTTTATAAGCTCGTTTTGGGTCAATGGATTCTCTTTTGTGAGTTTGGGCAACTCCAAAAGCTAGAAATGATAGATCTTAGTCCCTATGATGTGTTAGAGGCATAAAAATGTTATCTTGGTGGTTGATTTGAAACCATGCATGAATCTAGGTCCTTAATGTGAGCTTTGATGAACAAAAATGGATGTTGGACTCCCATAAGACATGCTAAGGCATAAAGTTTCCAACTTTATGCCCTAGGACCCCTTAATGACCGAGATCTAGAAGTTAGATTAAGTGGTTGTATGGATTAAGCACCAAATGACTAAAGGTGTTGAGCAGCTCAGTACGTTGAGCGTACCAGGATGTACGCAACGCGTATTGCATGCGGTCGAGTACGCCGAGATTACGTCGCGCGTACGCCCCCAGTGGGCTTTTGGACTTTTTGTTGGGCTTTTAGATCATTGGGCCTTAGTTGGTTTTGGGCTTTGACCTGTTTAGAGTAGGTGGGCATTTGACTTCTGCTAATGGGCCTTAAGTGGTGTAGTTGGGCCTTTTGGGCCTTAAAGCCTGTTATTTCGTTTGGGCCAAGATCGCTAGGCCCATTATAGGAAAGGCAAATGGGCCCTTATCTTAGGAGTTTGGACTTACGGTTTAGGCCCATGATTTGGGATTATGAACTAATTCTGATTAGGGTTATTTGTTTGCGTTAGTGTAGGACTTTCCTGTTCAGCAGCTGAGCATCTTGTTGTTTCCAATAGACTAAGTTGAGTTTTCTCATTGTATCAATGGGTCGAAGGCACTAAGGCTCACCCATTATTTGTATTATAGGATACATATTATTTGTGTGATATGTGTATAAAAGACCAGGGTTTGGCCCCTGACAATTGTTTGAAAGACCAAGATGTGACCCCTGGCACCTGTATGAAAGATCAGGATCTGGCCCCTGGCAGTTGCATGAAAGACCAGGATTTGGCCCCTGACAATTGTATGGAAGACCGGGATTTGGCCCTTGGCAAGAATTATATGTACGACTATGATTTGGCCCATAACATTAATTTGTATGTTGGTATGTGGTACTTTGGGGGAAACTCTTTAATCATTTGCTTA